CGCTGACTTTTTCCTGTGGACAATTGGATTTTAAACAACTGCCCGTGAGTAGAACGGAAAATTGGATTAAGAAACTTTTTAATTTGGCACCGAAGCAGGAAGGTCTAAACAGGAACTCCGCCTTCCGCTTTTGTAAATAAATTGAAGCAAAGACATTGCAAGCTAGAGTCTGGAAAGTTGTTTGTAAAGGACTAAATTTCCATCAGTTAAAATCACTAAACCCCCCTTGGAAGCAGGAGAAGAGGGGGAATCTTTTAGTCTGTTTAAACCTGGAGAAGAGAGAGTAAAGAAAGATAAATTTCCACCGTCTTGATCCTGGGAGCGGGGTGTCAGAGACAGACACTTTGGGGAAGTTCATTGACTGTGGACAAAACGTTTTTGACAGATAGTTAAAAAAGAGAAACATATTGATTCCAATGTTCCCTTTTGCACTTAAAAGGAACGAAATATCTGGGAAATGAAAGGAACTTTGTTGCTAGAATCTGCTTTTAAAAAAGACGGATACAAATAGAAATTGTTTCCTCTAGAGGGAGCTTGTGAAACTGTTGCTGGAGTCGATCGGGGAATTCTACAGCTGTAGAGATAAAAGATCGTGGGAACTAGACACCGACCTTGAACAAGAATGTGCCCAGAAGAAGCTTTAGTGCTTGCTTTTTGCAAGACAAGTGCTTTACTGGAACAGCTACATGAGAAGATGGATTTGATGACTGTTGCAGTTGGAAATTTTGGACAAACAGTGAATACTTATATAGTAACCACTCAGGAATCAATCCAGGAATGTGCTTTGACAGAGCAAGTGGTGAAGAAGATAAAGGAGGAGGTAGTTGCTGAACCTCAAGTACCAGAAATGGAGAGAGCTGCGGCCTTGCAGGAACATAAGTTGCTGTCTTTGACGACTGAACCTGGAGAAAGTCAGATTTGGAGAGATGGAGTACTGTTTGGTCTGGAGATGGGAAGTTGGATAGATCCCCCTATGCAGGGATGTTTTGACTTTTCGGATCTGGCTTTGGGCCAGGGGGAGTTCGGAGTTGTGGGGGCCCTCAATCTTGGAGGGACTTTGAAACATGCCTTTAAATATCTTTTGGATTTCAGTGGAGAATGGGCTGACTTGTCGAGAAGGGATAAAGATATTGTCAAGTTGGAGTCTCCCCGAGAGAAAGGAAGGAAATTAAGAATAAGATCAGCAGAAGATAAAGTAAAGTGCAGGTATAAATAATAATAATAATAATAAATTTTATTTATATCCCACCCTCCCCAGCCGAAGCCGGGCTCAGGGCGGCTAACAACAATAAAACAGTACAAAAGTACAGCATAAACAACAGTCTAAAATCATTCGTTATAAAATTAATTAATTCAAGCCACTGGCAACCATTGGGCCAGAGCTCCGCGAAGATTGCCGAGGGAGGGAGTCAGGCTGTGCCCTGGCCAAAGGCCTGGTGGAACAGCTCTGTCTTGCAGGCCCTGCGGAAAGATGTCAAGTCCCGCAGGGCCCTGGTCTCTTGTGACAGAGTGTTCCACCAGATCGGAGCCACAGCCGAAAAGCCCTGGCTCTAGTTGAGGCCAGCCTAACAACTCTGGGGCATGGGACCTTCAAGTTGTTTTTATTCAAGACCGTAAGTTTCTCTGTGGGGCATACCAGGAGAGGCGGTCCCGTAGGTACGAGGGTCCTAGGCCGTATAGGGCTTTAAAGGTTAAAACCAGCACCTTAAACCTGATCCTGTACTCCACCGGGAGCCAGTGCAGCTGGTATAGCACCGGGTGAATGTGATCTCGCAGCGAAGACCTCGTAAGGAGTCTCGCTGCAGCATTCTGCACCCGCTGGAGTTTCTGGGTCAGTCTCAGGGGCAGCCCCACGTAGAGCGAGTTACAATAATCCAGTCTGGAGGTGACCGTCGCATGGATCACAGTGGCTAGGTCAGGGCGAGAGAGGTAAGGAGCCAACTGCTTAGCTTGGCGGAGATGGAAAAATGCCGCCTTTGTTATAGCTGCAATCTGCGCCTCCATGGAAAGGGAGGTGTCGAAGATTACACCCAAACTCTTAACGGACGGTGCTGGCACTAATTGCGCCCCGCAAGAGATGGGAGTTGCCCCCAATCCCATATCGCCCCGTCCCAGCCACAGGACCTCTGTCTTCGAAGGATTTAGCTTCAACCGGCTCCCACGAAACCATCCAGCCACAGCTTCCAAACATCTAGTCAGTGTGTCTGGGGCCGAGTCAGGATGGCCATCCATCAACAGATAGAGTTGGGTGTCATCGGCATACTGATGGCAACCCAGCCCAAAACTCCGAACAAGCTGGGCGAGGGGCGCATAAAGATGTTGAAAAGCATCGGGGAGAGTATCGCACCCTGAGGTACTCCACACACCAAGGAGTGGCGCGATGACAATTCCCCCCCAAGCGCCACCCTCTGTCCCCGACCAGAGAGAAACGAGCGCAGCCATTGAAGGACTGTGCCCTGGATCCCCACGTCGGCAAGGCGGTGGTCTAGAAGTTCGTGATCGACCATGTCGAAAGCTGCTGACAGATCTAGAAGAATCAGCAGCCCCGACCCGCCTCGATCCAGCTGTCTACGAAGATCATCTGTTAGGGCAACCAGAGCCGTCTCGGTCCCATGACCAGTGCGGAAGCCGGACTGGAATGGATCCAGAGCCGATGTTTCATCCAGAAAACCACCAAGCTGTTCAGCAACCGCTCTCTCAATCACCTTACCCAGGAACGGAAGATTCGAAACCGGGCGGTAATTGGATAGATCTAAAGGATCTAATGATGTTTTCTTTAAGAGCGGGCGCACCACTGCCTCCTTCAGTTCCCCTGGGAATGTCCCCGTGCCAAGGGACAAATTGATGATATCCCCCAGGAGGGCCCGCACCTCGTCTGGACACGCTCTAATCAGCCAAGATGGGCACGGGTCGAGAGGACAGGTGGTGGGCTTTCCAGCTCGGAGGAGTCTGTCCACATCGGCTGGGGATATCCGGTCGAAGTGGTCCAATACTGGACCCGAGGACAGTCGAGGGGCCTCCAGTTCCTTTATTGTATCCAAATTGGCCGGGAGGTCATGGCGGAGCAACAAGACCTTCTCCGCAAAAAGCTCGCAAATGCCTCACAGCTGTGTGTCAAATTGTTATTTAAATTTGGCTGTCCCTCAAGGGACGTTAAAGACCTGATTATACTAAATAATTGCGCCGGGCGAGAGCTTGCGGATGCAATGGAGGCCGAGAAGTATGACTTCTTAGCAGCCTTCACCGCCATCTCGTAGGTTTTCATAAAAGCCCTATAAGATGTTCTTGAGGCTCCGTCACGGGCACCCCGCCATACTCGCTCTAGCCGTCTGAGGTCCCGCTTCATTTTCCGGAGCTCCTCGGTAAACCAGGGAGCCCGGTTTCTGCGGGGTCGCAGAGGGCGCTTAGGTGCGATCTCATCGATGGCTGCCAGGAGCTGGGTATTCCAGCCCTCAACAAGCTCAGTCAATGAGTCGTCAGGGGGAGCAAGGTCCCGCAAGGCTTGGCGGAATCTATCAGGGTCCATCAGCCTCTGCGGGCGAGCCCAAATTGGCTCGCCACCTAAGCAGGGTGGGGGTGGAAAGTCAATCCTGGCTTTCAGAGCGTAGTGATCAGACCATGGCACCTTCATCGAAGGAGACATGATCACATCTATACCTACGCCAAAGATCAAATCCAGCGTGTGGCCTGCTTGATGTGTGGGGCCCGAAACAAACTGGGAGAGCCCTAAACATGAAGAAGACCTGCAGAAGGGACATGGAAAAGACTTAAGAGCCTCGGATAGAAGGTCACCACGTTGATGGACTAGATGGATGGAACAGAAAGGACTGACAAAACCCGAGACCAGGAAGAAGAAACGACGGATGAAGATTGGAAGAAAGTTTTTAAAATTCATTTAGAAAATTATTGTAAAATTAATGAGTATTAGAAAAATGTTGGAATGAAACTATTTGGCTTTAGTAGAAATGTTAAAAAGAATTATGTATAAATATGTTTTGTTAAAAGAATTAGGTATAAATAAGATTTAAGTTTTAAGCTTTAGGGTTTTTTATGGTAAGATAAGGTTAAAATAGATTAAGGTAATCTAATGACAGAATATTGTGAAATATGGAAAGGATTTGCTGAGATAATTAATAACTAGAATACAAAAAAGGGAGGTGTGAGGAGGTAGATGAAACAAGTTAATGAAAGATAAGGATTTGGGAATATTGGATTTGCTTTTAAATTTTTTGTTTATTTTTGTTTTTTTTTATTCTGATGTATTGTGTGTTTTGTTTTGTTTTTCCTTTTTTGACTTTTGTTTTTATTGACTTATATTGTTTAATCTCTTTTTTTGTGTACTTTTTTCCTTTTCTTTTTTCTTGCTTTTTCCTTTTTCTTTCTGTAATTTTAAATTCTCAATAAATATCATTTTTTTTAAAAAAAGCAACTCTGGGGTTGCGGCGCTCATCTCACTTTATTGGCCGAGGGAGCCGGCATACAGCTTCCAGGTCATGTGGCCAGCATGACTAAGCTGCTTCTGGTGAACCAGAGCAGCGCACGGAAACGCCGTTTACCTTCCCGCCAGAGCGGTACCTATTTATCTACTTGCACTTTGACGTGCTTTCGAACTGCTAGGTTGGCAGGAGCTGGTAAAGAGCAACGGGAGCTCACCCTGTTGGGGGATTCGAACCGCCGACCTTCTGATCGGCAAGTCCTAGGCTCTGTGGTTTAACCCACAGCACCACCCACATCCCAATGATGGAGGAGGAGGAATAAAAACAAGAAACCTAGGGAGAATGGGGTATGGAAAGGAAAAAGGCTTGGCTGACTCACCGGAGCTCTGAACAGAACCATTTCTTTTCTTTCTCTTTTCTTTCTTTTTATTTATACTTTTCAAGTTTATACATTTCACTAATTTTACAATCATTTTGACATTTCAAAGCTTGACTTCCTTTCCCCTCTTTCTGCGGTTCCTTAAATTTATTTTTTAATATCTTTGGCATATCCAAATTAATTTGCTCATTTATTGATCTTCTTTAAATATATTTACTCTTATGAAAGTGCAGGTTATTACAATAATCCTACCAATGTTTTTATCTGTTTACAATTTATCTGTAAATATTCAATAAACCATTTACATTCTTTTAGAATTAAAAAAATTGTTATCTTGATTTCTTATTCTTCCGGTAAATTTTGCTATGTCTGCCACACAGAACCATTTCCAGACCCTCCACGTGTTCCTATTTTCCAGCGACAGTAGTCTTAAATTTACAGAAGCCTTCCTGGTTTGTGGTTTGATCCTGGAATGTCCTGCTTTTCCTTAGGAGGTCCCTGTTTTCACCAGCGAAATATTGGAGGGTATGGAGTTATGTGGCCCCTGAGCCAAGGAGATAAATAACTACACAACCTTTAGAAGACATCTGAAGGCAGCCCCCTTATAGGGAAGTTTTGAAATGTGTACATTATGTTTTTATATATGTTGGGAGCCACCCAGAGTGGCTGAGGCAACCCAGTCACTTGGGCAGGGTATAAAGAATAAAATTACTACTACTATGGGAATAAGATGTCCCTATTTTGATCGGATAAATGTTGGAGGGTTTGCGTTCCACGCTGCAACATGATGTTGCGGATCCCACGTGCCTGATGTAATAGTCCTTCTGCCAAGAGAACCCTGAGAACTTCCATTCTCTAAGGGAAACTGGAGGTCTTTAATAGAGAATTCTCAACACATTAAACACACTACAGTTCCTCATATTCTTTAGGCGAGGTCATGGTGGAAACACTGGCATGAACCTGGTGTAAACTGCATTGTAGGAGTGCTTTCAGCGCGGCAGATTTCTAATTGAAATGAACGAGCCTGTTCCACAGTATCTGTTAGTTAGCGCGTTCACCGCCATCCTTGCAAGAAACTGGCAGCGGAAATGACTTCAGAGGAGAACAAAGAAATATAAAGCATGCGTACGTGAAAAGGAATATGCAAGGGACATTAAAAACTGCACCACATGCCGAATTGCCCACCTCACCCCAGCCTGCACTTTGACAAAACTTAAATAAGCCTTGTCAAGCCCTTCTGAGGTAGGCAGGCATGTTTTGCCCTTCCAACTCATTACAAAGCATCCTAATCTTTTGTCGATTCAGCAATTGACACACAAAGCAACGCTGTCTCTTCCCTTAAGAAAGCAAAGGGAAAGTACCTGTGGATATGTGTGCTAATATATATAGGAAGTTCCAATAAAAGGCTTTCTGCAAATACATGGTTTATACAATACAGCTTGCTTAATATTTCCAGGAAGAGGTTATTAGGGGTGGGAGGGGGTGGGGAGAGATCATTTATCAAATCATTAATATGTATTTAGGTAATAAAGGCAACGGGGCAAAACTCACCAAACAGTGCCACCTGCTGGAGGCCGCTTGCTACTACCTCATGAACTCATTGCCTATGTCGCTCGTTTACCTTGCCGGCTTAAATATATATTATTTGCCGGCGCAGTTCTAGGGCTGGGCCTGCGACTAAAATGGTTTGAAACGCAAACGGTGTGCGTGCAAAGTGCCTGCCCCCTCCCGGGGGGGGGGGGACACACAACAATTTTGTCTGATTGCTCCTGCAATTTGTTCTCTCTCTCCCTCCCTCCCCCCCCCTCTCTCTCTGGTCCTCTGTGCAATTTTGACCCAGTAAGAGTGATGTCCCCCTGTTGCCTAGGCAACAGAGTGATGCTCACTCTCTTCCCACAATGGCTGCAGCCTCACGACACTGCCCAGGGAGAGTGCGAGCATTGTCCAGTTGCCTAGGCAACTTGGGGACATGCTTTCTTCCCCCTACCCCTAGCACAGTGGGCAGACTCTACCTAGTTTCATGGAACATCCTCACAGCACTGGCAGGTGGAGACAATGTTCAACTCTGCAGTTCAGAAACAAAGCTGAAAAGTTACACAGGCTGTAGGTGGAAATCTTCCTCTCCCAGAGGGCCTTTTCTGCATGCTGTGAACAATGAATTGTCCCATTTACAGTGGGACTTCAGGTTACATACGCTTCAGGTTACAGACTCCACTAACCCAGAAATAGTGCTTCAGGTTTTAAACAAAATCTTGCCATTGGTGAAGCAGCTGGTTTTAAAAATAAGACATAATGTTTGGGGCATATGCCATGTAAAACTGGATATAATTCTTTTCAGAAACTTGAAGATAATACAATACAGTGGTACCTCAGGTTACATACACTTCAGGTTACAGACTCCGCTAACCCAGAAATATTACCTTGGGTTAAGAACTTTGCTTCAGGATGAGAAGAGAAATCGTGCTCCGGCGGTGCGGCGGCAGCAGGAGGCCCCATTAGCTAAAGTGGTGCTTCAGGTTAAGAACAGTTTCAGGTTAAGAACAGAACTCCTGAACGAATTAAGTACTTAACCCAAGGTACCACTGTACTCTTTTTTTGCACTGAGAACTTTGCTTCTCTTCTATTGAAACTGTGATTTCAGGCTTCGATCAATTCTATTTTCAAGTTGTTTTATGATGTATTGTTTTATTGCTGTTGGTGGGAGTAGGTCAGTAGGTTGATAGTATTTCAGACTGCAACCTCCCCCCTCTGAGTTGCTTTGAAAATTAAGTGAAATGTATAGTTATATATTGAAAAAGAACCTTTTTTATTGTTATTTTATGTTTATGGTGTATAATCTTTAGGATACTTTAACTGGAAAAGCAGACAATAAGATAATGGTATCGGGGCCATGGCATACTTTAAATAACTATATGTGATTATTATCATTATTACTAAGCAAATAAAAACATTTGTTGCTCACAATGCCACCTTCTAATTTTGCTAACAGATACACGGTGTGGCCAAAGCCACACATTCAAAACCTGGTGTAGAAGAAGCCTATTTTATACATTTTCCACACCTGTAGCATTTTAATATGATTGTTTTGTCATGTTTATTTTAATGTTTCCGGAACTGGTTTTTATATTCCGTAAACTGCTTAAAAGCCTATAAGGTATTTGTTATTGTGTGCTTTAATTATATATTGATTTTATAGTTAAACCAGTAAGGAGCCATTTTGGAATGTAAATTAAGTATAAATTAATATATTATTATCCTCATCAATCACCATCATCACAACACAGAAGCAAAAATAAATGACAATACTGATAATTCAAATGAACAGAGGTAAATCCTCAAGCAATTTGCCTGCAGTCAACCACTTGACAAAAATAGGACAATGCTTACTTCAAATGGTGCTGATAGGAAAGGAGCTGGTTATTTCAGTCCATTGCCATGAAACCCTTCTTCATTAAAGTTGGGGCATATCATTTTTATAGAAGTTTAACTGTTGTGTCTTCCCCCAAAGAGTCTAGGAAATTGCAGTTTGACGGGAGTGTGGTGAATTCTCTCTTAGGCAATTCCTGTTCCCCCTACAGAATTACACGTCAGAGAATTCCCTGAGGGAACAACGATAGAAGCAATTTAAAAATGGCCTTTCTGTCCAGGAATTAGAAGACAACAGCACCACGGCTCATGATGAGCTGTCCGTTCTGCTTTCCCATAGTTTCTTTTACATCGAGTGTGCCATTGTAAGTCAGGATTTGCTTGGCATTATATACATGCCCCATATCATCGGATTTCAGGACAGTTTGAAAGCACACAAAACACAAGACCAGTTAGGACTGGTCAGTTAGATCCATCAGTTCTCCCACCTGATGAAACAGTGGCTGGTCCTAAGGAAGGGAGAACAACTTCCCTTTAGTTGCTAGGCAACCAGAATGGCCTTGGCGGCCATGTTGGGATGCTTGTCAAGATGGCTGGACCGGGGCTGAAAAGCAGTAATGGTGGAGGTCCCCAAAAGCAACAACAAGCACACATAGGCTCAAACTATGGAGTTATGTTGGCTGGGCGTGTTCCTTCATGGTGGTTTTGTTTCTGAACCAAAACTAGCCCTAGACTGGCTACAGGACAGGAAGGGTGTATGGAAAAGGCTACTGAAGCCCTTCTTATTTAGTCCATTTTCATCTCTTTCTCTATATGTTATTCACCTACCTGAGAAATGATGCAGAGCCCCGTATCTCCCCACTGCTGTTCATCCTGCAAGTAAAGAAGTTTTAGGAATGATTCTGAGCTGGGAAATTACCAGGTCTTCCCTAACCTCCCATCTCTCACCCAGCCACAGGCTGCTTTGGGTTTGAATTATATCGGAGGAAGGAATTATGGAAATGCACATAGGGTGCCATTTTAGCCACAATTTGTGCTGGTCAGCTCTGGTACGTGGTCATGTGCATGAACCAACCCTGGGCTGACTTGTATACATCACTGATTTTCCAACAGGTGACTCAGGATCCCACCAAGTTTTTCCATCATTCTTTGCTCACACAGCCACACCACTTTAACATCTGTAAAAGTGGGTTAATGAATGAAATGCTGGTTGGTGTGTGTGTGTGTACTCCCAATGAAATTAAAGTGAAAAGTGTCATGACACCAGAGAAGTTCTATTAAAAGTCAAAGCAGTAGCAATGGGAACAAAGCAGCAGGTTTATAACTTGTCTTGTTAATGAGGTGGCACTTCAGAATAGCGCACTGTGGCTGCTTTGTGCAGAACAGGTGCATCTGGGTAGGAAAAAAAGTTTGAAAAGCCTTGGAAGCAGAAAAAGCCCAGTATGACAAAAGGGACTCTTTGGCACAACCCAAATCAGTGCTTTAACATCAAAACCAAATCACACCAGACATTAATGCTTCTGCAGAAACAAGAATCACACCCAGATCTGTATACCAAGGGGAAGTATAACATAACTTATCCCATGGTCAAACCTGTGTTTCATAAGATGATGTTTTATCTGTTTACATAGTGAGGGACTGAAATTACTATTACCATTATTATTATTATTCACAGAAAAGATCACAATATATAAAATCAAAATAAGAACAATAACCCAATAACACACACACACCCCCAAAAAAGAGCCACATTTTAAAAAGGTATTGGATGTCCAACAGGTCAAGCAAAGGCCTGGTTAAAAAGGAACGTTTTTACCTGGTGCCTAAAGGGGTATAATGAAGGCACCAGGTGAACTTCCCTGGGGAGACCATTCCACAGATGGGGAGCCAACTGCAGAGAAGGCCCTGTTCTCACCTCCACACCTCTTGAGAAGGCACACATAGGATGGCCTCAGAAGATGATCTCAGGGTCCGGGTAGGTTCATATGGAAAGAGGACTTCCTTCCCCCGTACACTACACCTAGAATGTCAGGTGTGACAGACGTGTCCCGCACATTTGATCTGTTGTTTAGTCGTTTAGTCATGTCTGACTTTTCGTGACCCCATGGACCAGAGCACGCCAGACACTGCTGTCTTCCACTGCCTCCCGCATTTTGGTCAGACTCGTGTTTGTAGCTTTGAGAACACTGTCCAATTTTCTTTACAGCATTGGACTTTCCTTTCGGTTCCAGGCATACACGCAGCTGAGCGTCCTTTCAGCTTTGGCCCAGCCGCTTCATCAGCTCTGAATCTACTTGTACTTGTCCTCCGCTCTTCCTCAGTAGCATGTTGGACGCCTTCCGACCTGAGGGGCTCATCTTCCAGCATCATAACTTTTATATGCCTGTTGCCTTTGTCCATGGAGTTTTCTAGGCAGGGATACTGGAGTGGCTTGCCGGTTCCTGCTCCAGGTGGATCACGTTTGGTCAAAACTCTCCACTATGACCTGTCCATCTTGGGTGGCCCTGCATGGCATAGCTCATAGCTTCTCTGAGTTATTCAGGCCCCTTCGCCATGGCAAGGCAGTGAACCATGAAGGGGTATCAATACATTTGATCTATCTTCCATTAAAAGGAGTGATGGATCACTTGAGTGAGACACAGTTTCCTCTTGTACTCCACAGCTAGATCCTACACCTTTTATTTGATCTACCAGATCTCTTCATATGTGACAGGGATGACCAGCCTATATTGTTATTATCAGTTGTGTGGAACAGGGATGAGCAGAAAGTGCAGTGTAGACGACTGGGGAACCTTTGGTCAGTTTCTGATGGTCCACCTAGGTTATTAAGAGATACAAAACTGGTGTTTGCTAGTTTCTGAGGTTCTGGAAAAGACAGTCTGACCAAACAAGTCACCTCTTATAAGCCACCAAATTTAGCACAGGCCGCTGAGGGATTGATAAACATCACCAGCTCAATAAGCCAACCAGGACCATTGGTGGTTGTATGAGGCTCACAACTCAAAGCTGCCTCATGGCAGTGTTGCTTGCATGCTGAGTGTTTAATGTTCGGAAGAAGTCAGAAGCCCAAGGCAGTATAAGTTCCTCAACTACGTTTATTCAACATTGTCAGTGACAACAGCTTACTCATAGCAAAACAAGAAACGAACTCACAGGACTACACAATAAAAAAAAAACCAGCATGAACTGACCGTTGACAGTTGAAAGTGCATGCGCTTACTTGCCATTAGAACGTTCATCTACCAACGCTTATGCGATTGGTTAGAACGCGCCTTGTAACATAAAATGTGTTAAACCCAATACATAACACTGAGAAAGTGAGTCATGGGTCAGGTCACTGCAGTATAGAAAATGGGTATTTCCTCAGAACAGATGGCCAGCTGTCTGCCCTTTCTAGCAAGACTACTGGAGGATGCAATATTTTAACATTTATACCATTTGATACCCACCACCCCAACCTTTGCCAAGGCTTCATGTCAACATGGTCATGTTTACCGACAGTTTTAAAGGCCTCTGATCCAAAAAAGAGATGCAACAATTGGCTTCCACATTACTGGCTGGGACTTTCTGGCACAAGCGCAACTCCTGACCCTGGTTCTGTCTGGATGATTTGTTGGTAGCTGAGTTTTTTCTTTCCCGGGTGCCAATGCAACCATTACAAAAAGAAAAGAAAAGAAAAAAAGAAAAATTCAGTGAATTTACAGTCCAGTAATTGGCAGCCAATGTGAACAATCAAACATGGCAAATTAACAGTTTAAGCTGTAAATCAGGTGTGTGATTTGCTCTGGTAAGTGTAATTGTTAAAACTGCTCATTTCAAACAATGAAATGGCACCCGAAGGAAACCAATTTAAAAATAACAGATTGTGTTCTGCGCTGAACGTTGTATTAAAATAGTTACTTTAAACTCCTCTCCAATAGCTGTAAATTAATATCATGGTATAATCTCATTATTATACCTGGCATTGTTTTGTTTCAAAGGGAGACCTTTTTTTTTCATTCGCAGATGTAGATCAATTTTTGTCTGAATCTTCACTTCTATCAGAAAGAAGTGAAGTGGGCAACTCCCTCACTACGTCCAACCAACTTGTTGGGGGGGGACCTTTTCTGAGCCAAGGAAACACAAAGCACTCTTCATCCTATCTAGTTTTCTACAGTACCAGAATCACACCATTAAACTGGGTAACCTGCAAAGAATATATCAGAACCATGAAAATCCCAGCCTTCCTTTTTAAAATAACAACTTTCTAGCTCTCATTTTTGCGATCAAACATTATAAAAAGTGACGGCAGTTTCCCCAGAATGCAACTGACATCCTGATTAGGCCTGCATTGGCTCTAGTCCAGGAAGACTCTCCTTGTGCGTGAATGCACACAGTACATATTTCCTGTTTGTCCTTTATCCTTTCACTCCCCACCACATCAAAAATTGCTCCCCCAATGAAGTAGATTGGATTTCAGAAGAAGCTGCTGATGCCGCATAGGACCAGTGCTATTCTAACAGGATTTCATCTTTCTGTTTCTTCTCACTTTATCCATCCTTTCCGTGAAGCCTTTGCTTAAGCCCTGGTCTTGACCCAACAAGCACAAGTGCACTTGCTCCCATTCACTCGTTGTTACAGCTGCCTTTCCCATTCCATTCTTGCTCCAGAAACCACTTGTGGATTGTAAGCCTGGGGCAGAGACCTACCTTGCTTCTCTTCCACTGCCCATGATCAAAACCACATCCCATCCCACCTGATGGCACTTGGAACATGGATACCTGTTAAACTCAACTTGTTTCGGTTTCGCCCTTCTCAGACCTCGTGTCTGATGAACGGCTGGTGCAAACCGCAACACAAACTTTCCTAATTAAACAGCCTTCAGTATTGCAAACTGCAAAGCACTTGTGATCACAGCTTCCAGAGCAGGTGCAATTTGTGTAAGCTATTCCTAGTGGCAGCTACAACCTTGAGATTCAACCACAACAGAGGATCTAGCAGTGCACCTAAAATGCAAGCAGGAAGTTCTACAGCTGTAACTCCTGGAATTATTATCTGTGTTGTCTGGCCCAGATTGGGTACAGCCATACTTAGAACCAGATCTGGTGTATATGTTCTCTGGACCAAGTTGCTCTTAATCAACTGCTGGGTTTGGGACAGGCTGGAGTCCAGTAGGGAGAATAAGCTGCTCTATTGACCAAACAAGGGCAGGAGGTGAGGCTTCTCCTATTAATCTGACAAATCCAGGGGCTTTGAACTGCTAGCCAATCACAGGGGTTGATGTTGCACATTCCTATGCCCTTCTGAACCATATACACAATCCTGGGTAATATATTAGGCTGCATGTCAGCCTGATACTATGAGTGCTGCTTTCAAACCCTCTATAAACCTATAGAGGGGTTCTGCCTCCAAGCCTGGGCTCTCAGAAATGGCAACGTCTCTTCCTCTGGTGACTAGAAATCCCTTTTAGAACCCTTTTAGTTCAGAGTTTCAGCTTGGTATTTCCTGATTGCTTTTTACCAACAACCTCGGGGACTAGAAACTTGTAGTTCTTTTTAAAACAAAAACAAGGATACTAGTGAATCTGAACAAAGAACCCAACACAGCACTTAGTCATAAATCAGAACGTAAACATTCATGGTTTCCTCCATGACCAGACATATCATTGTCCAAGTGACTCTTCACAGCAATATATTAAAAATCGGGGGCTGAATTCTGATGTTGCTCCCTGCCATTCTATACTAATGCATCAAGGAAGTTATGCCTAACACATCTTGTATTGTCAAATACAGGGCTCGTGTTTTAAACTGAGCAAGAGCTGAAGGGCCAGCAACACTGACACTTTCAGATCAGGGGCTCTTTAGGCCCCAGCTTGCCGCCTGTGAAAAGCAACAACACATAGGTTTGCCATATTTTGAAGAGCAGAAAGGAGGACACCTTTGCCAACTTCCACTTTTGGATCGCTATGATGACTCTACCCATGAAAGAGAGGACATGTCCTGGAAAAAGAAGGAATATGGTAATCCTAAAACAGCTTTACAAGAGTTCTTCCCTTAGCTGCTCACTTTCACATAGTAGTGTGGAAATCTGCTAGAGCTCTTTTGCACAAGGAAGAGGAGAAAGAGTTAACAAGTCCTTTGCTTCCGTATCCATGGAAAACAGCAGCTGAAATGCACAACAGGGTCTGTTTCTGGGGGCAGGGGCCACGCGG